GAAGGATCGCTGGAGCCCAGCAGGTTGAGGCTGCAGTGGCCGGGAGCGGCCACTGCACACTAGTCTGGGCGACAGAGTGAGAGTCCAACTCAAAAAAAAAGAAAAATGTCGCCGGGCACAGTGGCTCACGCCTGTAATCGCAGCACTTTGAGAGGCAGAAGTGAGAGAATTGCCTGAGCTCACAGGTTCAAGATCAGCCTGAGCAACATGGTGAGACCTTGTCTCTACAATCAATCAGAAAATTAGCTGGGCATGGTGGCACACGCCTGTAGTTTCAGCTACTTGGAAGGCTGAAGCGGAAGGATCACCTGAACCCAGCAGGTCGAGGCTTCGGTGGCCATAAGCATGCTACTGCACTCCAGCCTGGGCGACAGTGAGACTCTGACTCAAAAAAAAAAAAAAAGAAAAGAAAGAAAAACGCTTTAAAAACAAATAACTAATTAATTAATTGGTGCTCATGTCCCTTCCAGCCTTCTTTCTCTTTCTGCCTCTTCTTCTGACTTAAAACATTTCAGAATTTCATAACCATTAACAGGTGTGAGAGTTTCCCAAATTTCTGAAGCCTAGAATGACAAGTCCACAGGCTAACAACATATTTATTTTGGGCAGAGAAATCAGATTTTCCTCCCAGTTTCTTCCATCAATCACCATTGCTATGATAAACAATAAAAACAGAGACTGACTTCCTCAAATTTCTACTCTGCTTAAAAGCCAACAACACACAACTACAGGCAGAGACCCACGTGGGTTCAGGTAAGCTACATGTAAACAAGCCCACTGGAGTTAGTCAGCCCTGTGAATGCAGGGGTTTGAGAAAGAACCAGATCTGAGAACAACTGGAAGGATGACCAGAGCCATTCCCAAAAGCTGGAGACAAGCATGGAATGCTGCAGACACTGCCTACGCAATGTCTGACAAGCAGTAATGACACTCAGCAGCATGACGAGGCACACGTGCCACCCCAGCCAACTTCTAACCCGCCTGGGGACCGCTTGGGGCAGCCCACAGTGGGAGCCAAGGGGCTGCAGGGTTGGGTCACTCTTCTATTTTTGGAGCAGCCTATACTCCCCTCCGCCTCCGGGCCCACAAAGCCAGAGCAGGCAGGATGCCTGCTCAAGGAGAGAGACAGCATGCTCGTGATTCTCACTGCCAAGACAGGGCCCAAAGTTTGAGGGTGGTCTTCTCATGTAAACCCCCTGTCCTACTGAGCCTGAGCTAAATGAAAACCCCAAGCCCTACTCCCTACAAGAAAGTGCAAAACTCAACTTGGTCTCCATGTTGTATCCTATTTTGATCCAGTCATGGGACCCATGTTCTAATTGACCTACACACACAAAAAATCCTTCACGCAGGGTGGGAAGAGCTCATGCCGGCCTGCCGACTCGAGGAGTGTGGGTGGCACTATGGAAATCAGAAACCAGGAACGGAAGTTGCCTGGCAAGAGACAACAGTCATGAGGCTGGGAGGAAGGCAGGACTCAGGAGTCCCAGGTGCCCTGAAATGAGCTCCCATGTCCTCAGAAAGCTCTGGACCCAAAAGTCCTTTTTGGCTCTACTAGGCCAACACAATTAGTCTCCTAGCCTCTTTCTTCTCATTCAGACTCCCCAAAATGAGAGGCATACGGGGCTTCAGAGCACGTCCAATCCGAATCCCTCCTTTAAAGGGTAAGGAAACTGAGGCCCAAGGTCACACTGTGAGCGAGTGGCCAAGATAGGACCTGAGCCTGGCCCTAGGGACTTCAGCCCAGGGTTCTTCCCGGTAAATCCCGCAAGGTTCTAAACACCGTTCCCTTCCGGGTTCCCTTCATCTGTGACACCACCCTCACCTACCCAACCCTACAGCCCCAATTCCCACCCCATCGCCCCATCTCCGCAAAGCCTCGTGCTCGCCCCAACCGAGCTCCCTGCGGAGGGGATTCTCCCACGTGCTTCCCTCCAAGGCTCCCACCCACCCAATTCCTCCTTCCAGCCCCAGCCGGTGACGCGGCCCCGCCCCTCCTCCGAAACTGCACCCTCCTCCCCGCCGCACCCCGGCCCGGCACCCGGGCCCCGCCCGCGCGGAGGCTCCGCCCCCGCCGTCCCCCACCTCCCCGGCGGCTGCCCGCACGCCCCGACCCCTCACCGGTAAAGCCGCTTAGTGTGGAGGACCTTTGCTTCTGGCTCGCTGCTCTCCCCTGCGGGGGGGCCTTGGCTCATGGTGCCCGGGTCCGGGGGCGGCTCCCGGTCACAGACCCCCGCCACCCACCACTACCGCCACCACTGCCGTCTCCGGCCGCAGCAGCAGCAGCAACCACTGCCGCCGGCCCTGCTCGGCCGCCATCGCTGTGAGGCGGCTGCCTGCGACAGCTCCTCCTCCGCCTGTCAAATCTCGCGATGGCAGTCGCACAGGTGCGGGCCAGTGGCCGGCTGCTGCCAAATCTCGCGAGACTCGTTTTCCCTCCGGGGAAGTTGCCAGAACTAACTCTGGGCAGCATGGCCTCTTTCCAGCTTCTCCAAGCCCTTGCGAAAAACTTTATTGGCAAAGCTGTCAGAGGATGAACAGCAGACCCGGTGGGGCGGCCAGAGCGAAACGGGATCAGGGCAGGTGGGCTCACAACCAGGAGCGGGACCTTGCTTTGTCCTACAGTGGTCATCTGCTCCATCCTGCTGCCCCCTTTACCCTCCATCCCACCACGTTTGAGAATCTTTTTGATTACCGATCAGAATGACTCAACGGCCGGGCGCGATGGCTCACGCTTGTAATCCCAGTACTTTGGGAGGCCGAGGCGAGAGAATTGCCTGAGTCCAGGCGTTCGTGGCCAGCCTGGGCAACTTGGCGAGACCTCATCTCTACAATAAATCAAAAAATCAGCCGGGCTTGGTGGCGCGCGCCTGTAGTTCCAGCTATTTGGAAGACTGAGGTGGAAGGATCACCTGAATCCAGCAGGTGGAGGCGGCGGTGGCCGTGAGCGTGCCACTGCACTCCAGCCTGGATGATGAGAGTGAGACTCCGACTAAAAAAAAATGTGTGTGTGTGTGTGTGTGTGTGTGTGTGTATAAATTGTGGAGGAAAGAGAGAATTTGAGTATATATACATATATATATGTGTATATATATTCTTTTTTTTTCTTTTTAGTCGGAATCTCACTCTGTCACTCAGGCTGGAGGGCAGTCACCCCAGCATCGACTGTTGGGCTCCAGTGATCTTTCCACCTCAGCCTTCCAAGTAGCCACAACTGTAGACACACACTACCACACCTGAGTAATTTTTGATTTATTGTAGAGACGAGGTCTCGCCAAGTTGCCTGGGCTGGTCTCGAATCCGTGAGCTCAGGCAATCCCCTCACCTCGATCTCCCAAAGTGCTGGGATTACAGGCTGAGCCACCAAGCCCAGCCTCCTAATTATCTCTTAACAGTAAACCTAAGCTAAAAACAGGGTATTTTCGTGCCTATGTACACAGTGTAATAGGAACATAAATTCTCCTTCTACCTCTATGCTCCTGGCTCCAGCCACCCACCCTTTCTGTTCCTGAAACAGCTTAGTTCTTTCCCACTCATTGGCCTTTCACTTGCTGCTCCTGTGCCTGGAACACATATCCCTGATTTCCCATTAGGGCTCAGCTCAAATATCATCAAAGAGGACTTCCTTACTGAAATTGGCTAACTGGTTAAGTTATTGGGCTTCTTTATTATCTGGTATCCCAGTAGAACAGAAGCTCTTCAAGAGCAGAGACCTTGACTGTCACCTTGTTCTTGTCTGTGTCTGCCTAGAATAGTGCTTAGCTAATCATTGCTGTTTCATAAATATGTACTGAATGAATAAGTGTACAAATTCCATCTCTTTTCTGAGGATCCCAACCTCCTCCAAGCACCTTTTGGTACAGAAACTCATTCTTCCCCTTCTGCTTTCCGGAGCTGGGAGCTCTTAATACATTCCCGGTACCTAGAACGTGAACTTACTACCTCTATGTCCAGCTGCACCCCCACTTTCAGAAAGGATGACGTTCTCCTCTAATGCTTTTTCTGTCGGCAGATTCAGCAGGGCAGGGCCTGTCCCTTTAATCTGGGCCCCACCTGCTCTGGTCAGACAGGTTTGGAGACACAGGTAAAGGGAGGGAGACAAGAGAAATACTTGCAGAACCAGCAGAGAGCTGGGCAGCTCCTTCCCGGACGCTGGGGACCCTCCACCTCTCTCCAGATGGAAAGTAAGAGGGTGTCACGGGTCCAAACAGCAGGGGTAGGAGGGCCCTTGAGGAGACGAAGGAGGGGAACCAGCCTCATCCAGAAGCAGTGAGTGGGAGGGCAACAGAGAGGGGACAAAGACAGGCACGAAGGCATGATTAGACCTAAAAGTTGGGATGAACATTCCCAGGCGCTGCAGAGATGGATAAGGTGGGCTATTGAGGAGTTTGGACATTTCCAATTACTGATGAAAAAACAAGTTGCCTTGCAACTATCAGCTCGTTGGGACAGACATGTAGGCAATTCAGTGGTGTCACTTGGAAGCCAGGGGGGGTTCCAAGCAGGAATTTGCTGGGAGAAGGGGAGAGGGGATGGTGAACGGGCAGCTTCTCTGTCCACAGGAAGATCTTTGGTGGGAAAGAAACTCTTGGCACAAGTTCTAGACACCTTCTCTTCCTTCCATTCCTACATTAGAGTGGCCATGACCCCAGGGGTTTTGGTGGAGGAGGTTAGAAGGTGTGGGTGGGGGCTGACTAAGTCCACAGTGCCAGGGCCTGTGCCCCCTGACTCACCCTCTCCCGCTGGATGGCATTTGATGTCGAAAGGGTGCCTCCATTTCAGCTGCTCACTTCCCTCCCACCTCCCTCTGTTTCAACATCTTTCTCTGCACCAGACTCTCCCTAAGGTTTCATAAGGGGTTAAAGCCCATGAGGCCAGTCGCCCTGGAGAGTTCCAGTCGCCCTGGGGAGTTCCAGTTCTGTCGACCAGTCCTAAGGGTCAGAAGATGGTTTCTGACAGAGCTTTTCTCTGCTGCCTCCAGGATGACATGACCTTGTGGTAACCCCAGAACTGAGGACCCAGGATGACAGAACCCGAGACCCTGGCCCTGCTGGAAGTGAAAGGGTCTGAGGCTCCAGAGAAGAGCTCACCCCAGGCCTTGGTCCCCAATGGCCGGCAGCCAGAAGGGGAAGGTGGGGCTGAGTCCCCTGGAGTTGAGTCCCTCCGAGTGGGGTCTTCAACTGGGTCTCCCACGGCCACAGAGGGGGCTGAGGATGGTCTAGACAGCACAGTAAGCGAGGCTGCCACCTTGCCCTGGGGGACTGGCCCCCAACCCAGCGCTCCTTTCCCGGATCCCCCTGGCTGGCGGGACATTGAGCCTGAGCCCCTAGAGTCAGAGCCACCTACCAAGCTAGAGGAGCTGCCAGAAGATGACACCATCCTGCTGCCTGAGAAGGCGGGCCGTGCCTTCGTACCCATCGACCTACAATGCATTGAGCGGCGGCCCCAGGAAGACCTCACTGTGCGCTGTGAGGCAGGCGGGGGTGAACACCGGACCTTCGTGCCCGCCCGGACCACCCACCCCGAGCCCCCTGAGCGCAAGTGGGCCGAGGCAGTAGTGAGGCCGCCTGACCGGTCCTGTGGGGGCTGTGGGGGCTGTGGAGGCCGTGAGGGGCTGAGGGCCGTGGCCTCTGTAGGAGCTGCGCTCATCCTCTTCCCCTGCCTGCTGTATGGGGCATACGCCTTCCTGCCCTTCGACGCCCCACGGCTGCCCACCATGAGCTCCCGCCTGGTCTACACGCTGCGCTGCGGAGTCTTTGCGACCTTCCCCATTGTGCTGGGTGAGTCTGCACCCCGGGAGACGAAAGGGGGGGTCCGGGAAGCGGACTCGAGGAGGGCGGGGCCTGCCTGCCGGGCTTGGGAGCAGGGGGGTTTCCCTCCGGGCCTCCCCCGCCCGGCTCCCCCGCACGCCCATCTCCTCCCAGGACCACCTCCCCCGCAGCCTGGATCCCGTCCACCGTGAACCTGAACCTGCCCCCTGCGTGTCGCCGCCTATGCCCTTCCCATGCCTATTCTGATCCTGCGTGTCCCCCAACCTTGCCCAGGGCTCCTGGTGTACGGGCTGAGCCTGCTGTGCTTTTCTGCCCTCCGACCCTTTGGGGAACCACGGCGGGAGGTGGAGATACACCGGCGATACGTAGCCCAGTCGGTCCAGCTCTTCATCCTCTACTTCTTCAACCTGGCCGTGCTTTCCACCTACCTGCCCCAGGACACCCTCAAGCTGCTTCCCTTGCTCACTGGTCTCTTTGCCATCTCCCGGTGAGTTGGGGCTGGGTGGGGGCATGGGAGAGGTGATGGTGTAGAAGATCCAGGCATCTGAATGTCTGGGGGGCCCGGTCAAGGCCGTTCTGGATTTTACATCCACCCACCCAGTCACCCCACGTGTGCCCTAAGAGATAAGTGCGTTTTCTTTTCTTTTTTTTTTTTTAAGTTGGCGTCTCACTGTGTCAACCTTCTGGGCTCCGGCGATCCCTCCGCCTCAGCCTTCCAAGTAGCTGGAACTACAGGCGTGCGCTACCACACCCGGCTAATTTTTAAATTTATTGTAGAGAAGAGGTCTCACCAAGTTGCCCAGGCGGGTCTCGAACCCACAGGCTCAGGCAATCCACTCACCTCAGCCTCCCAAGGCGCGGGATTACAGGCTGAGCCACCAAGCCCAGCTGAGTGCGTTTTCTTTCTTGCACCTTACTGCACCTGGTCACTTGTATGTCTCCCCATAGGAAGTGGATTTCAGAGACGCACATACCAATGTAGAACTGGAAGTTTTCAGGTGTCATCTAGATCACTGTACACATTGCAGCCACCCCTCTGTGGCACTCCGGTTACATGGCTTTTTTAGTCTCCAGCTGAAGACCCCCATGACCAAACGTTCAATTCTTTTTTTTTTTTTGAGTTGGAGTCTCACTCTGTCACCCAGACTAGAGTGCAGTGGCCGCTACCAGCCACTGCAGCCTTGACCTGCTGGGCTCCGGCGATCCTTCCGCCTCAGCCTTCTGAGTAGCCGGAATTACAGGCATGTGCTACCACGCCCAGCTGATTTTCTGATTTATTGTAGAGATGAGGTCTCGCTGCCCAGGCAGGTCTCAAACCCGCGGGCTCAGGCAGTCCACTCACCTCAGCCTCCCAAAGGCGCGAGATTACAGGCTGAGCCACCGAGCCCAGCCAATTCTTTATAAAAAGCAGTCTGTGTCTGATATTTATTTATATATTTATTATTGAGTAAAAGTCTCACTCTGTTGCCCAGGCTGGAGTGCAGTGGCATGCTCACACCACTGCAGCCTCGACCTGCTGGGCTCAGGTGATCCTTTCGCTTCAGCCTTCCAAGTAGCTGGAACCACAGGAGCATACCACCACACACAGCTAATTTTAAAAATTGTTTTATTATTATTTTTGTCAGTGTCTCACTCTATTGCTCAGACCGGAGTGTAGTGGCATGCTCACAGCCACCATAGCCTTGACCTGCTGGCTTCAGGTGATCCTTCCGCCTCTGCCTTCCAAGTAGCTGTAACTACAGGCGTGTGCCACCATGCCCAGCTAATTTTTAAAAAATTTATTGTAGTGACAAGATCTTGCCATGTTGCCCTGGCTGGTCTTGAATTCGTGGGTTCAGGCAATCCTTTTGCTTCTGCCTCCCAAAGTGTTGGGATTATAGGTGTGAGCCACTGGGCCTGGCCTAATTTTTTGATTTATTGTAGAGACGAGATCTCACCAAATTGCTCAGGCTGGTCTCAAGCCCCTGGACTCAGACAATCCTCTTACCTCCGTCTCCCAAAGTGCTGAGATTACTGGTATTGAGGCACTGCACCTGGCTTATTTTTATTTTTTGCATTGGGTTCTCTCTCTGTCATCCAGGTTGGAGTGCAATGGCATCCCCTGACCTGGGCTCAGGTGATACTTCTTTCTCAGCCTTCCAAGTAGCTGGGACTATAGGTGCATGCCACCACAGTTAACTAATTTTTGATTTTTTTTTTGTAGAGATGAGGTCTCGTTATGTTTCCCAGGCTGGTCTTGAACCCCTGGACTCAAGCAGTCCTCCCACCTCGGTCTCCCAAAGTATTGAGATTTCAGGCATGAGCCACCATGCCCAGCCCTGTTTTCATTTTTAAAGGTCCTAATTGCTAGAAAGTTATTTATAGTGTTAAAAACTTCTGCCCTGACTCTGACCTCCAGAATCACCTATGACAAATTCAGATATTTGATGACAAGTGTCGATTCCCCCCACTGACACCCTGCTCCCTGAGTCTCTGCTTTACTAAGTAAGGATCTTTCACTGTCCTGGCTCCTTCCCTCTGGGCAGAAAATTCTCCTGCTTGTCAGTGGAGGCGCAAGGGGCTGGCCAAGGGTGCTGTCCTCTTCATACAAGCTGAGGTCACTTTAGCCTCCTGACAACCTCCTTACTCTCCTTCCATTCAGAATTTGCCATCACCTAAAATCCTTAAGGGCATTTTCACATGAATTACTACAGCTAAGGTACTTTTGAATTTCTGAACCCAAATGCAGGTCATTCCATTTTTCTCTAATACATTTCCTCTTGTTACTTTTGATACAAGATCCCTGGTATCTTTAATTGCTAGAATATTCATCCTATTGAGCTAAAATCAGTCTTCCTATCACTTCTGATTGTAGTCTAGCAATCAGTTGACCCACCAGCATCCTGACCATCACACAGCCTTGCATTTCCTCCCAGTAGATTTTCCCAAGATAACATGTTCCTGTTCAGGTAACTCTACCTCCCATCTCTGACTCTTGGGGAATACTGGGCTCAGACAGAAGTTGGCTTAAGCAGTACGAATCATCGGGGAGCTAAGGGAAGACTCAGCGATTGTCTGGTCCAGGCTTCCCATTTTACAGAGAGGAAATCACAACAGATTAGGGGAGAAGAGTTGCTCAGGTCCACTGGCAACAGTGGCAGGACTAGAATCCAGTCTTTTCCTTCTCCCATCCAGAGTCCTCTCTCCTCTACCAGAGGCAAGTTCTTTGAGTCGTTTGTGCATCGGTTTCATCATCTGTAATATGGAGTTGTTGTGAGGATTAAATGAGTTAATTCACGTAGCATGCTTACAACAACCTGGCACTTGGTAAGGCTCACTCTTCTGATGTTGTGCTGTTTTCTGGTGCAGTAGAGAAGCAGCAGTTACTTAGGTTCCTTCTCCATCACAGGTGGAAAGAGTAGTCAGTTGTGTATTAAGTGGTTCTTCATGTAGCAAGAGGAAGTTGCTTCTCGCTTCTTCCATTAAGGAGTGTGCATTTTGAGTGGACCTTCCAAGACGGAAAATATGCTTGTGACTGACATTGGTAGTGGAGGGGGTTACAAACAGACTTGGGTTTAAATCATGACTTTGTTTGCTATTTCCTTTTTTTTTTTTGGAGTTGGAGTCTCACTCTGTTGCCCAGGCTGGAGTGCAGTAGCACACTCACGGCCACTGCAGCCTCGACCTGCTGGGCACAGGTGATTCTTCCACCTCAGCCTTTCAAGTAGCTGGAACTACAGGCACACACCACCATGCTTGGCTTATTTCTTGATTTATTGTAGAGATGAGGCCTCGCCAAGTTGCCCAGGCTGGTCTCGAACCCGTGGGCTCATGCAATCCTCCTACCTCAGCCTCCCAAAGTGCTAGGATTATAGGCGTAAGCCACCACGCCTAGCTGGCTTTCCTAAATGTGAGACCTTGGACCAGTTTTACTTAGCCCCATTAGAATCTTAGTTTCTTCATCTGCAAAAGCATAAATACAATGAAACACATTGCAGCTGTAAATGAATTGGGAAACTGCTTATATGCTGATATAAAATGATCTCCAAGATATATTAAATGGGAAACAAAACCAACATGCAGAACGAGAGGGAAAAAGCCAGGTACAGTGGCTTATGCCTATAACCCCAGCACTTTGGAAGGCCGAGGCAAGAGGACTGTTTGAGCCCAGGAGTTCGAGACTAGGCTGGGCAACATAGTGAGACCTCAATTTTACAAAATAATATAAAAAAATTAGCTGGGCATTGTGATGTGCACCTGTTGTCCTTGCTTCTTCGGAAGCTGCACACTGGCCTGGGTAACAGAGCAAGACTCTGACTCAAAATATAATAAAATAAAATAAGAGGAAAAAGAGAAGACGACTTTGGACTGATATATGCATTTAAAAAATCACACACTGCACAAAAAACCATAATACTGGATGCCTGGCGTAGGGGAGGAGAATAGGGTGGGAATCAGTAAAAGGAGGAAGACATTTTACTATACTCATTTTTTTTTTGTGAGTCAGAGTCTCACTCTGTCGCCCAGGCTGGAGTGTAGTGGCATGCTCAAGGCCACGGCAGTCTCGACCTGCTGGGCTCCGGCGATCCTTCCGCCTCAGCCTTCCAAGTAGCTGAAACACAGGCACGCGCTACCACGCCCAGCTAATTTTGTTTTGTTTTGTTTTTTGAGTTGGAGTCTCACTCCATCGCCCAGACTGGAGTGCAGTGGCCGCTCCCGGCCACCGCAGCCTCGACCTGCTGGGCTCCGGCGATCCTTCCGCCTCAGCCTTCCAAGTAGCCGGAACTACAGGCACGCGCTACTCGCCCGGCTGATTTTTTGATTTATTGCAGAGATGAGGTCTTTTCAAGTTGCCCAGGCGGGTCTCGAACCCGCGGGCTCAGGCAATCCACTCACCTCAGCCTCCCAAAGGCGGGGGATTACAGGCTGAGCCACTGAGCCCGGCTAATTTTTTAATTTATTGTAGAGATGAGGTCTCGCCAAGTTGCCCAGGCTGGTCTCGAACCCCTCGAGCTCAGGCAGTCCTCTCGCCTGGGCCTTCCAAAGTGATAGGATTAAAGGCATGCTCACTGAATCTTGAACCATGTGAATGCTTATTGCCTACTTAAACATTTAGAGGGAGGGGAATAATATACTCATTCTCATAGAGATGTGGGGAAGTCAAAATTAATCAGTTACAGTAGTTGGCACTGTGCCAGGCGTATACTGAATGCATAAACTTTGGCTGTGGGTGTGGGTACCGGCCATACCCACCAACTCCGTCTTGCTCGCTCACTATGCCCCCCC